ATACTACTACCCCCAGTTCATATTACTTGTCTCAAATTTGTCTAGACACGTAGATACATCCGTATCTGAATAAATTTAAGATAAGTAATGTGGATCCGAGGGAGTATGCAAATTGTAGTGTAGTATTGTTGTATCTAGGCCCCCTCGATCATAGAACTAAAACTGACCAAAACTGATTTGTTGTATTGTAAAAGGACTCAAATTTGCTGCATCGGGTCAAAAGTCAACACGTTGTAAATTCAGTTTACACAAACTGCGAACAATTGTGAAGTCATATAATCCACTAAGTACAACGCTCAAACTATCTTCTAACCCACAAGTCTAGAGAAAAGGATGGCAGCAAATAAAATCCTAGTCCCTCCGTTCCCTATTACAAGATGTTCTAACTATTTTCTGAATTGGATGCATATAGACGCGTATTAGTGTGTTTATTCACTTATTTCGATATGTATGTAGTTTATATTAAAATATCCTAAATATATTATAATTCAAAATGGAGGAAGTATTAGTTTACGAGACCAACTAGGGGCAATCTGGCCCCGAGAAGTGCCACACAGACGACACTTGGTAGTCGAAATGTGCACGACACTACTCCAAGGACCATCCATTGGCAAGCCTGGACAGTCCTAGGCCCTTGGATTAGCTATCGTGCATGTATCGTTCAGCAAAAGATTGTCCATGAAGTAGTTCCGTCTGGCCCCTTATCTCCTCAAGGATGCTAGTCACGTGTGAAACAAGCATGTAAAAAGATAATACATTGTAACTTTTTTTTGAGGAAAAGCCATCATGGCTAGCTTTATTAACTTAAAAATCGAATACATCGCTTACTACTTGGCTAATTAAGAAATCAGGAGGCTAATTAGACCAACTATCATCACACTTATTATAAAACCTGAACTTATTAGCTAGCTCATGTGCTGCAATTTGCATCATGAAAACAAAGCTTGAAAGTGATCTTTCCTATTAACGTTGCCAAATCCATTCCGCAAAGATCGCCACTGCTGCATCCCACCATTGGTTATGTCCTTGACAATAATTCACCACATTAAGAGAATCAGACTCCGCTTCAATCCTACTGAAACCCATAGCATTTGCGAAGGCTAGCCCGTCATGCATAGCCATTGCTTCTACTGTCGTCACCTCCGCTGCATTCTGAATGAATCTGCACTGCGTTGCTATAAAGCGACCCTTATCATCTCTCAAAACAGCCCCTGTTGCGCCCGTACCTTCATCAGAATGGTACGAGGCGTCAACATTCAGCTTAGTAAAGTTCAGTTTAGGTCTAATCCACTTATACCTTCCACTTACTGCCTTCCGGATTGATCCTTGATAATTTGCAACAATAGCCAGTACTGAGCTCGGCCATCGGAAAGGGGACGGGCAAGAATCATAGTATGTCGTCGACTAACCATCAAATGTACCAAGAACCTGCTGCAATGACCTCTTTGCAGCTTATGCTTGGCATAAGTTCCAATGGCGAATCTTGTTCTGTCGACAGAAACTCCAATATCGCCGACCCCGGCCTGTAACCTATAGAGCAATGTTTACACGCTCCAGCTGCCCCAGATTCATCCATAGGTTATTCGCCAACACACACTGAAATAGGAGATGTCGTATATCTTCTGGCCCTTGGCGACATATTGGACACTCTCCACTTACAGGAATATGCTTATTAGCAAGTATCAATTTCAGAGGAACTATACCACGTAATGCATGCAAGCAAAATATCTGAATCTTCCTCGGTACTTGCAACTTCCAAAGTTGATTTCAAATTTCAGGTTTTAAGGTACTACTCGACGTGTTATTCTCTTGAGTCTGCCCCTGTACTTGTGCAACCATTCTACCTCATATGCAGTTTTTACAGAGAAAACACCATTGACATTGTGACTTAAAAATATTGAGAAATCATATGAATACATCAATATTAGAACATAACTGCAATATCTTAGCAACAAAACTTGGAAGAGAAGATGGCACATGATACAAAATACCCACACATGATTAGTACAATCGCCCCTAGGTTTTTCAATAATTCATAACGGCTCAGATCTTTGCTCTAAAAAAAGCGTCCAGTTAGATATACAATAGACACAAAAGCAGTGGCATGCAATATTCCCTAATTATAGACAGTTAAAAGTAAATCGTCAAATATGCTGTTAACCTCCCCTTACTTTACTCCATATATGCTACTATAACTCGGATTGCACATGGCATGGTGAAGAAATGACTATGTGTTCACCTATCATTGCGCTCCAGTGTGAACGAGGAGTTTCTTCTTCTTTATCTATGCCAGTGTGCCGAAACTACCAGAAATATTAGTTGTTTTAACTAACAGTTTGAAATTGAGCGGTGCCAGTGGTGGCGCTGAACCTCGAAGTCGAGTTCTTGCTAGAGCCAAACCACCACTAGAGCATCTCCAACAAGCGCGCTAGTTTGACGCGCGCGGGAAAAGATTCCGGTTTGGCGCGCGCAAGCCCGGTTGGCGCGCTCCAGCAAGCGCACCAAAGTCCGACGCGCCAAAAAAATTTGCACACGCACGGAAAAGCGGCAACGCGCGCGATAGTTTTGGCGCACGGCGTCTAGCGTGCTCTATAAAAACCAGCAAGCAAGCGCGCACCAACCGCCACTCCATCGTCTCCCTCTTCCCCGCCTTGCCCTTCTTCCTCGCCTCCAACGCCCCCCCCCCTCCCCGCCGCCGCCACACCTCCCTCGCCGCCGACATGCCGCCACGCGCCCGGAGCAGCTCTGGCTACCGTGACGTGCGCGCCCGCCCTTCCGACGTGTATTACGCGAAGATCCTCTCTGGTAATACACGCCTCGGTCTCGGAACGTTTGAGATCGCCCACGAGGCCGCCTGCGCGTACGACGCGGAGGTGTGGTGCCTCTCGAGACCACGGTCGTAGATGAATTTCTCGGACGTGCAGGCGCCCCAGCAAGCGCAAAGACCTCGCGCCTCCGCCACGGCTAATCACCAGCGAGGACCGCTGCATCCAGTGGAGGTGGGACCGCCGCCTCCTCATTGCCGAGGTGGATGAGCATGCCATGGTGGCGTGGCGCGAGTGCTTCCCGGAGGATGTCGCCATCGAGAACGAGTTCTGGGCGCAAAGGGCGCAACGAGCCGCGGATCGAGCAGACAGGCGTGCGTGGAAGGCACCGGCGATAGCGCAGTGCGAACTGTGATCTGCGTCGACCTTTAACGACAGTGATCCTCGATTGGAAGACGCGTTTCCGTCGTCGGACTACAAAATCGAGTAGTTAGTTTATCGTCGAGATAATCTACTATATTTGCATCGTAGTATCGTTTTTATCTATTTTTATTTGCATCGTATAGACTAGCTTGTGGTGTTGCGCTTGAACTATGTTATTTGAATTTTATCTATTTGTTGTTTCATATTGTTTGTATGTGTTGTATCGTAGTACGGGTTGCTCGCGCATGCTGGATTTTGCAGCGCCTGCTGGAGCTATAGCGCGGCGCCTTATTTTTGCAGCGCCTGTTGTAGCAAGCGCCCTGCTGCGCGTTAAAAAATTAGCGCGCCGTGCATGTGCGCCTGTTGGAGATACTCTTAGGCACATCCATGCTAAGGAACCCGCCCTCCCACCGACCCCACCAAGAACACACAGCAACTTCATAGGCCACGAGCATGATTTAGGAGCTAGCTTTACTTGGCACTCCTGGGCTCCGTTGCGTTATAAATTCTTCAGCTGGTTGATCCTCAAGACCGGTTTTAGACCTCTGATCGGTTGGCGTGCCGTGGTTTGTCTCATCAGGAGACATGTCACTTGTGCAACCAGGAGCAGGAGTCCATCGAACATCTTCTCATCACGTGTGTTTTTGCCCGCTCGGTGTGTTTCCAGGTGCTCTCAGCCTTGGGTCAGGAGGACCGGTCTCCAGGGCTGGACGATCGGTTGTTACATTGGTGCACGGCGCTTGCTTCGGGCCAACGGAACAGGAAGAACCTCAACACCCTCGCGATGCTAGTCCTTTGGGAGATGTGGAAGCACTAGAAGGCGGTCATTTTCGATAACGCCTCTCCATCGCTGCAAGATGTTCTACGGCTCATCGTGAACGTGGGGAAGGAATGGGTTCTTGCAAGGTTCTT